GGTAAGTGCACGAGGTGCAGCGGCTGGGATTCGAACTCAGGTCAAGCTGAAGTCTCTCACATGGAAGGCAAGGTATCTGCCACTGACCCACCACTGCTCCCTTGTTCTATGAGTCTGATAAGACAGTTAGAATTACTAAGATCCATGGGTTCTTCTTTCCTGATTTGAACATGTTAAATTCCAGCAAGGATTCACTTTGAACAGTGGCTGCCTCCAGAGAAGGAACTAATACTGGGAAGGAAAGGAATCTCTGGGTGTTCACTCTACACTTTTACATTATTCATTTTTTTCACAATGAACAATCTTTATGTATGACATACAATTTAAAAATGCATTTTAGAAATGAACAAGTCAACCAATGTGTTCCTAACAAACATCACTCTAAATTGGTATTGAATCTAAAACCTAGTGGGCCACATATCTTAAAAACAAATACAACCTAAATGCATAAAAAATTAAACATCATGTGACAAAAAAGGGGAAAACACAATGCTAAGCTTCAAGTGAACATTTATTGCAATTATCTAATATCCTTGGGGAAAAAATAATCAAAAATTTTTTCAAGTGAATTTTGAGTGGGTAAGATGCAATTCCTACAAAGAAAATAAAGGAACAAAACTGCTCTTTAGAATTAAAAATATTTTCCAGCAAAGAAGTTTGATAATTAAGGAATACAGTGCAGACACTGTCAACAATCTTGTAGTTAGGACTAAAAAGAGCAAATAAAAAATAACCAGAAATTACAAATCCACTACTGTAATGCCACTCACAGGAAAAAAAAAAAAAAAAAAAACAATTTCCAACCTTCATTTCTCTCTTGTGTCTGATCTTTTTAGTGGAAATGAACTTGGCACATGCTCCAACTGGCCTCTTTAAGTGCCTGGTTTTACTGCATTAGTGACAACAACCAATTAAGCCTAAAGCTGATGACTACAATCACAAGACTCACATTTGTGACTGGGAAAAGATTTATTCTCTTTAAATGCCACATTTACAGTGCTGGCACAGTGAGAGATCAGAAGGACAGCATTCTCATGGAGGAAAGTTAGAGAGACAGGAATGCATAGGTAATGATGACACAAGGAAGGGGATGGCCACAAGGAGAAAATGGGAAGAGAACTGTTTATTATGGGGATTGTAATCTCTGCTGTGAGATAAAATGTGTATGAACTGTTGAGAGTAAAACAAATCTGTTTTGTAAATCTGCACCCAAGTCACAATGGAAAAAATTTTAAATAAAGTACTGGTATATTTTTATTTAACCCTAGAATACACTCGTAGAAGTCAAGGATAACCTTTGGATATATTGTTACAGAAGCTCTGGTGGCATAGTGCCTAAGGTATCTGACTGCTAACCAGAAGGCTGGCGGTTCAAACCCACCAGCTACCCCTCAGGAGGAAGACTGGGCAATCTACTTCCGTAGAGACACTGCCTTAGAAACCCAAGGAGGGGTCGCTATGAGTTGGATGTGACCTGACAGCAGTGAGTTATAATCGTTACATGTAAATTGCCCTAACTAGAACTGAGATTTAAAGTTGAAACCCCAACAGCGGTCTTCTGCAAAGCAGTCAAATATTTAATGGTGGGTTTCTAAACCTCAGCACTATGGACATTTCTGGTCAGATCGCTCCTTCCGGCAGGGGCTGTCAGAAGACGTCTAGCAGCATCTATAGCTCTACCCACTAGATGCCAGTAGCACTCTCCCTTTCCGGCAGCTGTGGCAACCAAAATGTCTTTGGATGCTTCTACAAGCCCCCTAAACGGCAAAATTGTCCGCACTTGAGAAACAGTAATAATCCAGTGCTTGGACCAAAACCAAACAGTTTAGAATTATGGACAAGGGAATTTGGTTTGTGAAAGTGGAAAACAGTTACAACTGATGACACAGAAAGGGCGTAGATTTACCCACTAAGTTAAATGACTCAAAAATACTGAACTCCATGCCACACAGCCCTCCTCATTATTAAGTTTATTCTGCTGAGCTTTTGGTCCAGAACTGCAGCTTATACTTAGAGAAAACTATTTCTACACACACAGACAAAACACCCTCTGTCTTTACTCTCGCCTGCTAGTCATCCACTGGAACTGTCCACTGGTTCCTGGGTCAAAGAGCTTCCCTTCAAGTTCAATGGTCACTGCTCTGCCTACTCCAGCTAGGAACCTTCCACAATGACCTATACTGCCTGCCAGGCCCTCTTCTACCACATGTTCTCTGACCTTGACGTTCAAAACACCATTTTCATAAATTCTGTCTTCACTTTGAATCTTTTCATTTTTGTAGCTATAGTCCTTACACAAATTGTCTTGAAGGCTGAAATATACATACAAAATATTTATATGCACATGAGAAGCTCTGGTAGCATAGTGCCTAAGGCACTTGACTGCTAACCAGAAGGCTGGCGGTTCAAACCCACCAGTCACTCCTCGGAAGGAAGGTTGGGCAATCTACTTCCATAGTGATACCACCTCGGAAACCCAAGGAGGGATTGCTATGAGTCAGGTCTGACTCGATGGCACATAACAACAACAACAATATACATATGTATACGTAGTCCCCAACATGACAGGATTCTATTTCAACAGCTTCTGTAGGTTCTTACATGAGGAAAACACCTCATTTTTCTTTTAGTTTATAATAACTTAATAATTATTATTATAATAATTTAATAATATAATACAATAATAATTTAATTTCATTACAATAATTTGCCTTTTATTGTCAGAAACTTTATAAATCATAACATTAAACATGTTTAAGTGAACATCTGAGAATGATAACATCAGGAAATTACATGCTGCAACACTGTATGTAGTACATTTTACTAACGTTAAGATGTACAAAAAAAAAAAAACAGTTATAAGTGGAGTTTATTGTAACTCAAATCTGTCATAAAGTCAGGGACTACCATACACTTATGCCTGTGAGTATATGTATCGTATGAGGCAAAGCATCCTACTTCTGAATTGTTGTGTCCCTTGAATGACTTGCTTTTCTGATCACTGTCTGCCCACAGCCTGGTTCAGATTTACAATCCAAACGTCCAAGACCTTAAAAGGTAGGTTCAAGGACTCAGTTATTTGGCAGCACCTGGGCTACTACTCCTGGAGCCCCTGTTATTGCTATTGGGTGCCACTGAATTGATTCCGCTGAATCATGGCCTTCCTGCAGGACACAGAGTAACTGCTCCATTAGGTGTCCATGACTGTAAATACGTCCAGAAGCACACTGCCTCTTCCATCTTCTGCAGAGCAGCTGGTGAGTCTGAACCACCAACCTTACAATTAGCAGCCAAGAGCTTAACCACTTGTGCCACCACGGCTTCTGGCAGCACACATGGTTAAGCACTCAGTTACTAAGCAAAAGGTTGTCCGTTTGAACCCACACAGAGGTGCCCTGAAGAGAGGGCTTACAATGTGTGACTTCAAGGTCACAGCCCTGAAAACCGTCTGGAGCACAGCTGTACTCTGCACACACGGGGTCACCATGACTGGGAACTGACTAGATGACAACTGGTCTGGCTTGGTTTGCACTACTCTACCACTCCAGCCAAGTGACCTCTGTCAACGAACCACCAGCCTCTATTTCACCCAGGCTACTCATCCCTGAAACGTATTCTGACCATTTTTAAGCAATTTTCTCTTATCTTCAAAGCCCAGTTTACCTGCACCAAGGAGCCTTTTCTGTAAGGCAAAAGGAAATCAATGTGCTCTCTAGCACATTAAACCCATGTCTTTGGTAAGCAAGTTATAAATCTCACCTTAAAATTACAATAAATGTGGGACAGAAACAATGCCAAATACTCAAATGTCTGTTAGGCCTGAGAGAGGCTTGCATGAGCATTGCTATTTCACCCTGTAATCAGCTTAAACTCCCAGGGGCCTCTGCATTTACCGCAAAAGTCCGGAGTTTGGCTGTAATTTCTTCAAGCCAATGAAGATCTTGGGAAACCTTGGCCTTCAGCTTATTCCATTTTCCCTGAACAGCATCAAATGCCTGTCGATACGGATTTTCTCCATCAAGAGGAACATTTTTCTCTGAAGCTTTTGTTTCCTCTGCAAGTTTATATAATGTAGGTTTCTGATTCTCAAGAATTTCATCAAGGGCCTGGAAAAGGTTTTTAAAAATTGAAAATATGCACAATAATGATCTGTAGAGATATAACAATAGGAGCTAAAAACAGTCAAAAGTCACGTTTCTCCAAAAAAAAAAAAGCATTTAACAAAAAAAGAAATGTGAAAAATTCAAAAAAAAAAAAAGCATAATTAAAAAAGTTAAAGCTTTCCCTTCATGAGCTGTGCGTGGGCAAGACATAATATATTCAAAACACTTAAAAACCATGAGAACAACATACCACTGAGGGCCAAGTCTATAGTGGTCAACAGTTAATCTGTTTTACATGATGAAATAGTAGGAGCCACAAGTCTTAACTTAACTTAATGACAGGGGAAGCATTTTATTCAGTAAATAACACGTCAATTTAACTAATATTTTTCATTATATTGAAGATATTTTAGCAAATCATGAATAGGTTGACTATTTTAGGCTAATTACAACATAAGGAAACAATATGTTTTTTTCTCATTAACAGATATTTAATAACTATCTTTCTTTTAGTTGAGATCTTAAAGTAACTAACTTCATATTATATGAAATTATTTGACCAATTTTGACCAAAAATTATCATTTTTATTTTAGATAGTTAAAAAAGCATTTCAAAATTTTCCTATCATTTGAGACATTAGAAATAGTCCTAACTTCTAGACCTAAAATATAAATTACCTTTTTTTCTTGCAGGGTCTTCTCCACCTTTGCAAGATCATTCAAGACACTCAGAGAACCCTGGGCCTTACTTTCCAAATCATTCAGCATCTCTTTCAATGTTTTCAGGGTTTCCAAATATTCACGTCCAGGTTGGCTCTTCAATTCTATTTATTTAAAAATATTTGAAAAAATCATGTTGGGAACCCAGTATTTTCTGTTCCATTAACTGTTCGCATATGACAGGTGAATGCTAATACATATCACCTTAGACATCATGATTAAAATGAAAGAAAGTCTGTATTAGTTACTAACATAGATCATTCCATTGGCATTTTTGAGCATCCAACAGTGACTTCATTCTTGCAGATGTTAATGTTTGAAATATTGATTAACCCACTATCCATTTTCTTCATCTCATCATGATGAATGATCTCTCTGAAGATGTCACTACAATGTTCCTTTTGTCTCATATAATCTCCTTTTCTCAGCCAGTGACACAAAGAATAAAAGACAACAAAGATCCCCATAACCAGGCTTTGTCTAAGTTCAAGAGCGAAGACAAACTGCCATCTCCAGAGGTCTGGACATTATTCAAGAAGACAACAGCCAGGCTGCCACAGGTCCTCTGAGAAACGCTGACCATAAGAGCCAGCCTGCATGACATCTACTTAAGGCTAATGCAGAAATCACATCCAAGCAACACTTGTGTGGAAAGAAGTTAGTTCATTAGAAACACAAATATATAAGAAACATTTTAAGTGAAGCTTCTGAAAAGAATTAACACCAACCACCTAATGCAACTGCTTAAAGGACCCAGAAATTCTTTGGAAAAGAAGCCTTATGGGTAGGACATACCCAAAGATACGAAACCAACTAGAAGGAAAAGTTAAGAAAGTCAATGTTTAAGCTGCCTCTGATCTTTATACTGATTATGAAAGCATATTTTATTATAGTAAATTTTGAAGGAGGTCTTCTCAAACTTTTATTTCACATTCCAGATCTACTTAATCCAATGAACATGGAATATGGTGCCCAGAAATCTTTCCAGAAGAAAGAAAGCATGGCACATTTGTTTAATGTGCAAACATCTGGATTCTTGAAGTCATCACAGAATCTACAGTTGCTAAGTGCGGTTGTGGTTAACTTTGTACTGCCCCTTTTTAGCATGCATTACTGGCAACATTACATAATATGATCTGATTCTTGACTAAATAGCTAAGGAGAAAAAAACGTTAACACATGATGGATAAGCTCTCAAAAACTTTCCCAGAAAACCCTCTAAAATCAGGTTTATTCCAAAAGTTAAAAATCTCTAAATTTTTTTCAGATTCCAAAAAAGGAACATTTCTTTAAAAGTAGGCCATGTGGAGCAAAATTACACCATTATGAGCGAACAGAAGCAGTAACTGATCATTTTTTCAGTCCTACAAGTAATGCTAATAACTGGCCTCCACCAATCAAAGGGAAAAATAGCCCTGTGTAATTACTTAAAACCATTAGATCCTAGTAACCATGACTTCAATACGCATGAAATCTGTTTATAGTTTCACAAACAAGTGAGTCCAAAAAATCGTAAGAATGCACTTTAAGGCTTGGAAAATAGAGAATTCAGAGGAAAACAGTGGGACTGGTACAAAAGGAGCAAATCCACCCAAGGTATAAATATGGGAAGAAGTTTTTAAATTGCGGCAATGTGAAAGGAGAGAAGAATTTCTGAATCATAAAATAAGAAAACCAGCAGAAAGGGTTTACCATTCTCTAGCTGTTGCAGGTGATCCTCTAAATCGCGCTGCAAAGCTTGGTAGCGGCCCAGAAAGCTATCGAGGCTCTGCTGGGTAAAATCTGGAGCGGAAGGCTGAGACCTGAGGGCCAAGCAGCTTGCACGCAGCACTTCAATATTAGGGTGGAGGCCGAGGAGGTCTGTCAATTCTCGCTATATAAGAGATAAGATGGTCACATACTCACTGAAGATGAACCAGATCAGAACTAACCCAACGTTCATGATAAAACGAGCACTCCTAGAATTCACTCCCGTTCCACAGGGTTGGCTCTTTACCTGACAGGAGTCCTGAAGATTCTGCAAGGACTGCTGGGGTGCTTCTGAAAAGGGAGTGTGTTTTACCCACTCCTCCTTTTTCTTTATGGTCTTTTCAAGCTCATCAAGCTGCCTAAAGTAAGTGTTTATTTCTTCCTGTAGCTGAATCTTTCTTGCCAGATCTTCCAAATGCTGGGATAGCTTCTTCCATTCTGATAAAACCTTCTCCAGCATATTTTTTGTTTCTTCAGGAGGAAGACCTTCTACACAGACATGAAAAATAAGCAGACGGTCCATATATTACAAAACTTATTCTGAGTATTACAGCCATCCTAACAGATTTGAAATAATGAGCCACTGTCACCTATAACAATCATTTTCCAAGTCTCTTCTAACACAGTAATGAAAAATTATAAACTAAGAAATGCTTATGGTTTTTAAATTCTTTAACTAAAATGGGGGAGGGAAGAGCTTGAAGGAGTGCTCCAAAAGTGGTGTGGCTGTCACAAAAGACATTTGGAAGAGATCTGACCATTGTCTTTTCTACAGAATGCACGCTTCCATCCTTGTTGTCTAGTAACTCTGCTAGCTACTAGTCTGAGCCAGGGAAATAAAATCAAAAACCAGGAGGCAGCCCAAGCCTTTGCTGGACCACACACCAGGAAAAAAAAAAAAAAAATCCACTGCCATTCAGCAGATTCCAGTTCACAGCAACCCCCACTGGGTTTCCAAGGCTGTAAATCTTTACGGAAGTAGATTGCCTCATCTTCCTTCCACAGAGCCCCTGGTTAGGTTCAAACTGCCAACCTTCTAGTTAGCAGCCAAACGTTTTACCCACTATGCCCCCAGAGCTCCTTTGATGATAAAGGGACCACAGTGTCTATGACTTGCAAATGAATGGCAAGAATTCTCATGACTAGGAGGCAACATGGAGATTGAGGGCCTACTAAGCCAGCAGCCAGGCCCTGCAGCTTCAGCAAGGTCTACTGGGTGTGCTACATAGAGCCAAGCAAATACACAACATGTTGATGCAGTGGTAAGATCTATCTGCTACAGAGAATAGAGCAGGGGGGAAAATGCCATGATTTTTATTACAGACAACTTATAAATTGGTCTTATCTTTTCAGTAGAGAATGTTTATGAAAATAATAAAGTTGTATATAACTGTAAGTTTTATTGTAGGCCTTCCCTCAATGGAAAATCAAATCTTTAAAATTACTGCAAGAAACCATGGTAAATCTGCAAACAAATACGTATATTCTAAGGAAAGCATGCATGTTGAAAGGATGGCCTTAACATCTCTACTATTTGAGTAGGAGGGTGATACCACAATATAGCTTTGTAAACATATACAATCAAAACTGGGTAATCAGAGCTCGAACAAAAAAAAAGAAAAAAAACAGCACATAAAACAAAAGGTCACTCAGGATCCATAGACTTTGTCACTTTAAGAATGTCTGTAACACACTGTACCCACTGAAAACAAAAAACACAAACAGGCCATGGTATAGACTGAATCTATTCTCCCACGTCACTGGCTAGAGTCCATGGCTCACTAACACATGGGTCATAGTATATGAGACCAAGGCAAAACATGGACACCACAGTCCATGCTCAATGACCCCTGTTAATGGGGATCATAAAACCAGTCACCATTTTCCTGAGAAATGGAAACAGCGGACATACAGAACCTGCTCGAGCCTAGTCACCTGCATTCCGTAAAATCGTTAGCCTCTCCCACAGCCACTCTGTCCTCACGTCAGGGCAATTTACCCTCAACAAGTAAAATTAAGTGGGTTAATGAAATGTTGAGACAGAAAAGTATGGCAGCTTATCTGAAAAAGGTCAAAAGGTACTCATTTCATAATACCAGGAAACTGGGAGAAACTTCTGTCTTTCCTTTTAATTTTTTATTTACTGACAATGTTTCACTATCCATTCATGTCATCCCTTCAAACTCCAAAAAAAAAAAAAAAAAAAAAGCCACACTCACTGCTGTCAAGTCAGATCCAACTCATAGCAACCCCTCCTTGGGTTTCCCAGGTGGTATTACTATGGAAGTAGATGGCCCCATCTTCCTTCCCAGGAGCAGCTGGTGGGTGAGAACCTTCAAGCTTCTGGTTAGCAGTCAAATGCCTTAGGCACTACACCACCAGAGCGCCTTCCTTCAAACTACTTCTCAGAACTTAAATCATTCTTCTCTAAGCTTGAGATTCTATAGGCTGGATTTGTGTCAATGAATGATCAAAGCAGTGTGCATCTTAAAAAATGAGAGCTGTACATTGCCTTTTAAATACTTGTTTCCAGAGTCGCAGAGTTATAAATCTCCAATTCCTATAGAACACCCAACTCGTAGAAGGTAACTAGTCAAAAGCCAAATCAAAGGCATATCACCCTATTAATCATCTAAAAGAGACAAAATACAACATAGTCCTGCCACTTATTCTCAATAAAGAATATTCAATAGAATACAGCTCTATTGGATCAAAGGACATGTTTACAAATCACAGGACCATCATCAGTATTCACTGGCTTATACATTTTGCCAGTCATAATGGGTACCAATGTGTAAAGTCACATTATACAAGGGTTCAACTACTCTAGTATATTAGACTCGACGGCACTTAACAACAACAACAACAGTATATTAGCTGAAGATTTCTAGGAGCAAGAGAAGCTGAATCAAGAAAACTAGATCGTTGTATCCCTGAAATTCAAATGAGTTTATTTCATTAGTGCCTAAGCATTTGACTACTAACCAGAAGGCTGGTGGTTCAAACCCACCAACTACTCCTCGGAAAGAAGACTGGACAATCTACTTCTGTAGAGATACCACCTCAGAAACCCAAGGAGGGGTGGCTAGGAGTCAGATCTGACTCGACAGCAGTGAGTTTGGTTTTATATGCTGCATAAGACATCACAAAAGTTTATTCAAATGAACTAGATAGAAAGATCTGCCAGATTTGATACGAAGAAAACAGTGGCATGATTATTTGAATGTATATTTTACTGAAAAATTTTATATGCTTTTCTAATTCAACAGAATCATTTACCTACATCCTTACCTAGCCAGACACCAGCTAAATTACACTCTACATTAAAACTTCCCTCTCCATTAACTATCAGTGTTCCAGGATTGGTTTAAAATATTTTTTGGGAAAAAAAAAACCATACCAGTTATGTTTTCATTTCTGTTCAACATTTCTGGTTTTACAGTAGCAGTATTAACATATGGAAGAGTAATGTGCAATACTACAAAACAAGAATAATAGATAAAAGGAGAAGACAATGGGCCATACAGAGAAAACCTTCATTATGCCTTACAACAAAAGGTAGACACTGCCCGCCCCCAAAAAATGAGCACGCTAAACTCAGAATACATAAAGTCAGTTTCTATTGACTGCTTTTCTTCTTGTACTTGGGCTACAATTTCCTGGTTTATTTCCAGGTTTCCTAACTTTTTAGCCAATAGAATGTGGCAATTCTGGAAACCCGATCCCCTTCCTTCTGCCACAGTTCTGTTGTTGGTAGTGTTTATTTTTCTAGTTACTTTCTTAGATAAATGCTGTCCAAGAATTCTGTCTATTCAGATTAATGCCCTCTCAGCTTCCTATGCCTACATCATAAATGTTTAATAACAGATGTATTTTTTAAATAGAATCAAGGTCCTCTAACGAATGCATTTCAGTCCTACCAAAGATGGAAAACAGAAAATGGTGACACAAAATATAAAAGGTTTCCTATGAAAGTAGGTAAGTGCACATCAGGTCGCAAACTTATTTCTTTATTATCATATTATAAAACCATATGCTGTATATTTACCAACATTGCCCTTAGCCCTCTGCAACTATCATTTTCATATGCACTTAAATTTGCTGACATATTTTAGGACCTGTCTAGTCACGGTTAAGATTTTATCGAGCAAAAGCTATACTCAGCTAGCAAACTCCCTCACTTTCTAGAGGGTGAAACAAGAAACAGAGGGATTATGTGACTTGCCCAAGGACACAAAGCTAGAAAAGGGAAGAACTCAAGGCCTCCGGTTTCCCAACCCACTGTTATTCACATTATAGCAAACACCTCACCTCTCACTAACTTCTCCCCTAGATAAAGTCTTCACCCCCAACCCTCCATCAGTCTACTCATTCTGCCACAGCTACTAAAAGCTGGCAAACAAAAAAGGGTGGTCAAGTCAGCAGGCAGACTCATGAAGCTAGCTAGCTACCCCATATTCTTACCAGACAAGATCTGAGTCCCAAGGTCTCTCCAAAGTTGAACCAAGAAGCAAAGATCGACAATGGTAACTGGCAAGAATTCAGTAACCAAGTTACTGAAATTATTGAAGAAATCAGCACCTCAAGAGGAATTACAATCTCTCTGAGTCTCTGGGTACCTTCAAGTACATACTGGAAAGAACAATCCCCACAGGGTGCCCACACCCAGGGGTAACAAACATAGTCCCCTAGATTGGGTTTTTAAATTACTATTTATACTGGTCTTGTTTGTTTAAAAAAAGGAAGAAATTCAGCTTTACTTATAACTAACACACAGATTGACAACAGTGCATTGGCATTCTTTTAGAAGTATATACCAGGGCGCCTTTCAATAACCTTTGCCTGATATATAACAAGAGTCTTCATAGTCTGAAAAAAGACTTCTGAAAAAGACTCTTCAGAGGTCTTTGAAAAGGCAAAAGCGAAGGCAAAAATAATCTAAACCAAAGAAACCAAACTCACTGCCGTTAAATCAGATTCGACTCATAGTGACCCCGACTTGGGTTTCCGAGGCAGTATCACTACAGAATTAGATTGCCCAACCTTCCTTCCGAGGAGTGGTTGGTGGGTTTGAACTGCCAGCCTTCTGGTTAGCAGTCAGGTGCCTTAGGCACTACGCTACCAGAACTCCTCCTAATAATCTAAGGTTGTTTAAAAAATCAGAACAGTGGTTTTCTGAGAGTAGGGAAGGGTGACTGGCCAGAAGGGGACACCAGAGAATACTTTTGAGGAACTGGAAATGCTGAATAGAATGATAGATGTGTGCAGATTACACAGGTGTGTAACCTGTCGAAAAGGCATAGCTAAGCTCAATGCATTCCAATGTCAGTAAATTTTCCTTCAAATAAACACTGGAAAAAACGTATTAGTAATAATAGCAATCATGGGGGATGAAGAGTGGGGGGTATAGATAATTCAAGAATTACAAAATTTTGTTAGTTATGAAACTGAGTAATTGGTACAAGGAGATTGATTACATTGTTGTACATGCTCTGTATATGTTTACATTTTGCACCAGAAAAAAAGTCAGAAAATGAAAAATGGTAAACACTATCACTTTGAAAGCTCCTGTCAACGTGACATTCATATCCTGCCATGGATGTCTGTGACTACTGTCCAGGAGAGCAACAGCAGATCTCTCGGCACATACTATGATTGGAATGAGAAATAGGGCTTACAGAAAATGTCTTTCCAGGCTATTGCAAAGACAGAATCATACACAACTCCCAAACAGTGTTGTTTAGACCCCTTGGAGCTCTGGTGGCACAGTGCCTAAGGCATTCAACTGCTAACCAGAAGGCTAATGGTTCAAACCCACCAGCCACTCCATGGCAGGAAGACTGGGCAAGCTACTTCCATAAAGATTTACCGCCTTGGAAACTCAATGGGGGTCACTATGAGTCAGAATGGACTCAACAGCAGTGGGTTTGGTTTCGGTTTTTAAGTCACTGGGGCTATGGCAAAAAAAATTCAGTGTAAAACTCTCAAACAGAAGTAACACTTTCTCAAAGTTAACTCTTAAAAAAATGCTTGTAGTAAATTAAGGAAATGCACTCAAAGGAATCAAGAATCAACCTTAATGAATTTATCATTTGCAATGTTGCCAAGGTAAAAGCTTTCTCCTGTCACCCTATCTCCCCCTGCAAAAAAATCTCCATGTGTAAGGCTCAGGATTTTACAGGATTTTAAAATCTTGTACCCCAGGGGATTCTACTGCTCTGCTGAGGTATCAGAGTTTTAGGTTCTGAACCCACATGAAAGCACACAACATTGCTTTTACACATTTTACATCATCATCATCTGCATGAAATATCATTTGAAAAATAGATTCTGCTGACTTAAAAAAGGAGCTCTGGTGGTGTAATGCCTAAGGCATTTGTCTGCTAACCAGAAGGTTGGCAGTTCAAACCCACCAGCCACTCCATGGCAGGAAGATTGGGCAATCTACCTCCATAAAGATTTACCACCTTGGAAACCCAAAGGGAGTCGCTATGAGTCGGAATTGACTTGATGGCAATGAGTTTGAACCTAAAAAAAAGTCTTGTAAAGTACTTTTCTAACAACGAAAGTTGTTGTTACCAGGGGTCCTCGAGCCGTGTCTGACTCCTACTAGTCCCATGTGACAAAGTAGAACTGCCTCATAGGGTTATCTTGGCCGTAATCTGTACAGAAGCAAACTGCCATGGCTTTCCCCCTCAGAGTTGCTGGGTGTGTTAATGCAAATACTTGATTTTTCAAATTATAAATGTTATTCAATGACACTATCTTAATACACATAGGAGCTCTGGTAGCGTAGTGCCTAAGGCACTTGACTGCTAACCAGAAGGCTGGCGGTTCAAACCCACCAGCCACTCCTCGGAAGGAAGGTTGGGCAATCCTACTTCCGTAGTGATACTGCCTCGGAAACCCAAGGAGGGGTCGCTATGAGTCGGGGCCGCCTCGACAGCATATAACAACAACAACAACAACATCTTAATACACACACACACACATATATATACTTTTCTTTTTCTTTTCTTTTTTTTTTTTTAAGTAAGGGTCTTACCTTTTCTCATCTGCTCCAAAAGCAACTGTCCACTTTGGCTTAAGTCACCAAGTTTGGGTCTTTTTTCTGTCTGTTCCTTTTCTAATCCCTAAAAATAAAGTCCCAATGTTAGAATATGGCCACCTTTCTTCTCGACATCAGCAGACAGTATCTTCAGTTTAGATCTCTAATGTCTCTTCCACATTCTCTTTAGGCAATGGACAATTGACCTAAGAGAATCTTACAATATAAAACCATGCAACTCCAGCCTATGCCCCAGACTGCACAGAGGAATAAATCTGAAAAGGTAAATTCAATCAATGACCGAAAACACATAGCAACTATAAAACGTGGGTTTCTTTTATGAGAAAAATAACTCTACACTGAAATTATGAGGCCAAGCAGTTAAAACCATGTTTCAGATCCAACATATCTGTTCACATGAATAGCCTGACTACATGCCACATCATAAAAATAACTGTGTGAAATTTCTCCAGAGCTTTCTCATCAACCCAAACAGAAACTCTGTACCTAATAAGCACTAACTGAGTAAGTTCAGGAAATAGCGATGATGGCTCTACAATATTGTGAATGTACTTAATGTCACTGAAATGTATCCTTAGAAATAATTAAAATGATAAACGTGGTTTGTGCATATTTTGCCACAATAATTTGGGGGGCGGGGGGAAACATGGCAGCCACCTAATGAGATTTACATTTCAGGAAGATCACCCTTCATCCTGGTCACAGATGTCAAGGCACTATGGGAGTTTAAGGAGGAGGGAATGGCTAACCGTGGCAAAGGCTGCAGAGAGCAGGTTTGATGAGAACCAAAATACATCCTTTGGATTTGGAAGCTAAATATGACTGATGACAGCAACATGAGTAGTTTCAGTGAAATAAGGCAGAAATTAGTCTAAACTTCTCATCCAAACATTCAAAGTTGGCCAGAGCCTCATCTCCAATCACCTGTCCAACTTAACTCCCTACTATTCTTATACACACACTGACAACTAAACAAAACAAAGTATATGCTTCAGAGATCACACTAGACTTGCCCATGTTCATTCATCCTGTGCTCACAGTCTCCCTGCCTGACGCGCCCTCCCACTGGCTAGAAGGAGCATCTTCTTCAAGTCCCTGATCAGCACCTCCTACCCTCTTGGACTTCACAACTCTGCAGGGACAGCAGCAATCCTGGTCCTCTCTCAGCTCCTCTGGTAGCTTCTATTTCCTTACTTACATCACAGATACTCATGAACATCTTGTGTTTTTAAATTGTTCTCCAAACACTTTAAACTCTACCGCTGATACATAAGCCAGCAGAGATTTGCACCAGATGTTCAAAAATATCAAGAAAAAATGAAAAATGACTTAATGAATCTCAGCACTACAATCTCCTGTCCTAATTTTCACTAACACACATAAGGCTACAAAGTAGCAAGGCTAAGATCCCCTACATTTTCTAGTACCAAAAACCAGTTGTCATGGAGTCCATTCCATGGAGATACCAGGTGTGCCAGACTACAACTGTGCTCCCGATGAATTTTATTTTTATAAGCTGTGTCTGTTCTTAACAAGAATGTTTTGAGATTTGAAATACTATGTTATATTCAGAAAGCAAACCTCCTTGGCAAAGATAAATTCTTAAATTATTAGATACCAGATTAAGGTACATTAATCAATCTGAAAACTAGTAACTGGATCACCTTAGGAAGAGTTCTTTCCTGCACATTTCATTGGTTAAAAAGGGGGAAAAAAATCCGCCTCTACAAGGGATCCTGTGATAGCTCGCTCAAATCAATTTGAAATGTACTACAACGCTCTAAAAGCTACCTATGGCAACATTTATTTTGCAGGAAGCTTTTAGGTACTATCACATCTCTATGCCAACAGCAAACCTAGCCTGACTAAATATTTTATTCACTAGCGTAAGAGTGTTTTATGTTTTACCTTCAGCTTCTTTTTTATTTCTGAAGTCTCTCGAATCTTCTTATACTCTTTTATCTCTATGTTTTGAATGTCTGTCTTTGATTTCAAAATCCACTTCAGCAGTTCTGCACTTACAGCATCAAACCTAATTCAAGATTCAAATGTTACCATCATCATTAATCTCCTTCTATTCTTTCACTTGGCTCAAGAACCAATCAAAACACTTGAATGGTTTCAAACCATTCAAAATACTATAAAATAAGATCATGCAATTAAAAGTAAGAAGAGTAGTAATACTGTAATGTTAATATACAATTAAATTTAAAAAAAAGCTTTTAAACTTTATGAAAAATTGTGTTTTCATAAACTTATATGGACAATGAAAACCAGATTTGGTTAGAAAAGAACAAGTACAGACATTCCTAAAGTTAATTTAGTCTTCCATTTAGTACGTAATGACCGAGTCCACTATATGCCAGGCACTGGTCTGGGCTCATGATATAAACATGAACTGGACACAGTGACAGCCTTCAAGGAGATTTCAGTGTAGTAAGGGCAACAGAAAATAACAGGCAATAACTAAAGAATTTACTAGGTGCTAAGTTAGGATCTCTGGTAGCGTAGTGCTTAAGGCACTTGAGTGCTAACCAGAAACCTGGCAGTTCAAATCCACCAACCACTCCTTGGAAGGAAGGTTGGGCAATCTACTTCTGTAGCGATACTGCCTCGGACACCCAAGGAGGGGTCGCTATGAGTCAGGGCCGACTCAACGGCACCTAACAACTACATCAAGTACAGAAACTCATAGGAAAGGCTTATAATTCAATCAGAAAGGGAGGTTTTCTTAGAGGAGAAGAGCTGCATTTAGTGTCAGAGTTTTCCTGGCAAAGGGAGTAGAAGGGAAGGACGACCACATTGTACAAAATATGTACAAAATACAAGTACCTGGGGATTACTGGGTGTCGGGCAGGGCAGATCATAACAAACTACAGATATCACTGCAAAGAATGGGAATTTCAGAACATTTAACTGTGCTCATGAGGGCCCTGTACATACACCAAGAGGCAGTCATTTGAACAGAACAAGGGAGGACTGCATGGTTAAAAATCAAAAAGGTGTGTGTCAGGGTTGTATCCTTTCAATCTGTATCCTCAGCAAATCTGAGCTGGACTATCTGAAGAAGAATGTGGCATCAGGATTAGAGGAAGATGCAACAACATCCTGGGATATGCAGATGGCAAAACCCCGCTTGCTGAAAGTGAAAAAGATTTGAAGCACTTACTGATGAAGATCAAAGACTACAGCCTTCAGTATGGATTACACTTCAACATAAAGAAAACAAAAATCCTCAAAACTGGACCCATCAGCAACATCATGATAAAAAGAATACATTAAGGAGTTTGAGTTTAACCAATGGGCAGTTTGAAAGCCAAAAAAGTTTAAAACATATGACTTAAAAAAAAAAAAAAAATCTGTTGCCATGCAGGAAACTCCAATTCATAGCAACCCTACAAGACAGAGCAGAACTGTCCCATACAGTTTCCAAAACTGTAATCTTTATAGAAGCAGACTGCCACATCCCTTTCCCATGGAGCAGCTGGTAGGTTTGAACCACTGCCATTTCCATTAGCAGCTGAGCACTTACCCACTGGGCCACCAGGGTTCCTTAGGGACCACATGCCAGGTCCTTTTCTACGTGTTTTGTGTATATTATGAACTCAAATTCTCACAACAACCCTATGAATTATATGCTATCATTATTCTATTTTAGAGATGAAGGAACTGAGTTCAGAAAGGTTCTAAGTAACTGCTCAAGGTCACAAAGACAATAAATGGTAGAGTTAGGATCCAATCCCAGGAAGGGTATTCTCTTAAGTATATCCTACCCATAAGACTTCTTATCCAAAGAACTTCTGGGTACTTTAAGCAGCTGCATTAGGTGGTTGGAGTTGATTCTTTTCAGAAGCTTCACTTAAAATGTTTCTAGTGAATGATGAATACCTGTCATTTCATCGAGGTAAATTTCCCTTCTACTATGTGAGGGATTTTGTGAAGTTCTGCGTACCACAGTAACACCCAGGGTAGAGTACCATTCACACAGTGGCAAGTTTCTCCAACCACCTTAAGAGCAGATTTCCATTTAGTCTTTCAGAGAAGAGGCACTCCACCCAGAGATCAGGCATCTGCAATGACCTTAGAGACTGAGTCGATTTCTGCCTTCAGTAGCCAAGAGTGATGAAGCAGTTATAAGCATCAATGATGTCAGGCTGCATGAACAGATTGCAGGTTACAGGAAATGAGTGCCCTCTACACCTTGAGCTGGTAAAAGCCACCACCAGCAGCACCCACAGAAGGGACGGGGAAATGAACTGCCACTTACTTACCATGTATTATAAGCAAGGCAATGTGCTAAGCAGCTACATGAGCTTGCAACTACTCGGGCAGTCCATTTTAAGACAAGCTAATAGTGACTGAAGATATTAAAGGGTCTGGACACCATGTCATATTACTAACCATGGTTAAGAATACTCTGGATTTCAGGACAGTAGAAAGTGGAATATGAAAGCTATCCTCACATACCAAAAAAGAACCACATAAAAGAGGAGTGATGTGACTCTGTACGTCTCTAGAAACCAAAACTAGCACACAAGTGACGAACTTAGTGGGGCAGAGTTGGGTTATGTGAAAAAATAACCTTCCTAATAATGAGATGTAACTGTCTTTCACTGTAATGAATTGATGTACTCAAATGTCTCTGTGTCCAGGAATTAAGGAAAGGAATCTTTGCTACACTTAATGACTACAGCACTTACAGCTGGTTGTCCACCCAACAGACACACACACACACACACACACACTCTTTATTTGCTGTCTGAGTCTTCCAGACCACAACTACAGAGACTGAAAAGGTCAGAGAGTTTCTTTAGCCCCTGTACCCAGAGCCTAGGCAGGTGGTTGAATCCTGGCCAGTGAGATTAGACAGAAAGTTTGCTGAGGTCTTCTGGGGAAAGGCCCTTCTCCTGAATAACTTAAAAAAAAAAAAAAAAAAGACAAATGCAGGAAAACTTCCCTTCCTGACTACAAACCAGGTAATGCTAAGTACTGCAGCAACATCTTGGTACCATGAAAGCACAAGCCTAAGCGTGAAAGTCAGCATGCTGAGGATGGCAGAGACTAAAGACGATGAGATGCTGAACCACACCATCCCCCTAAAACTGTCCTACCTCTGGACTTCTCCAAATGCGAGATAATAAACTATCCTATTCTTGAAGTCTCTTTGGGTAAGACAGGCTGTTTCTTGCAGCAGAATTCACCCTATATAACACAGTGGTGTTGAATTTAAGATTTACAATTATGCACCATAGTCTTTATAATCTTTCATGCTTCCAAGTGCACTAAGGCAGCACTGGAGAGAGACACAGCACAATGCCTGGCAGACAATAAGCGCACAGAGGAAGATAATGTGCTACTATTAACAGCAGAAGCAGCCTCCTCCTGTGATGCTTTGACTCTAAAGGAAAAGTTTGCACAGCTGCTGGCTGCACACTAAGGTGCCTTAGCTCTGCAAGGAGACACACTCAGGAGGCAGAAACACCACCTCACCACCAAAATGAAAATCGTCTGGGAAATTCAGAATCCTACTTGGTCTAACAAAAGCTAAATTGGGGACAGCATATCAAAAACTATTACCTATCACTTCCGGTAAGATGGAGAAATAAGCAGACAAGCTACACAGACCCTCTTCAATAAAGAAAAGAGAAACAACTGAGAGAGATATAGAAGATAAGCCTGGAGCCCTGAGCTCTGAAAGGAATTATACAGAGTGAATAGGAGCTCTGGTAGCATAGTGCTGAAGGCACCTGACTGCTAACCAGAAGGCTGGAGGTTCAAATCCACCAGCCACTCCTCGGAAGGAAGGTTGGGCAATCCTACTTCCGTAGTGATACTGCCTCGGAAACCCAAGGAGGGGTCGCTATGAGTCCGGGGCGGCTCCGACGGCACATAACAACAACATACAGAGTGAATTAGGTAACAACTAGTGGAAAAACCTGAATGAAAACAGTGAGTACAGAGATGGATGGAGAAGTGGACTGTCAGCTACTCTGACAGGATCAACAGCTTGAATATTTCCAAGTGGTGCTGGACCTAAGAATTGACCTAAAGATCAGCCCTGGTCACCAAGGACTGCAGGGACGACTGTGCTGGTGGCCTATGACTAGGAAGGGAAACAGCAAGGAGGGAGACAATCTGAGTGCAGGCTTTCTACCGTCCAGAGGTCACAGCCATTTTGATTGTTTACAAGCAGTGGCCATTTTGGATAGTTCAAATGACTGAGGACACAGCCATTTTGAATGTTTACAAGCAGTGGTCAATTTGGGTATTTAAAGTGACTGAGAGCACAGCCATTCTGAATGTTTATAAGCGGTTACCATTTTGGATTTTAAAGTGACAGCATTCTCATTAGGATTCCAGGGATCTAAGAATAGGCTCTGTTTGCCAAAGACAGCAGGGACATACCAGAGGCTGACAACGGGAAGGGAGACAGGTGATTAGTGTATAAGTGCTGCCAACTAGCAAACAGAGGAGCATAGCACAGTACCCTGCTTACATACATAACATACAAAGAAAATGAAAATTGTGGGCAAGTCACTCCAACATAAAATCACCAATTAAATATAAACAAAAATGTCACAATGCCTCAGAGACAACAGAGCATCACAATGCACACAAAGAAGCAAGATAAAGCAGGAAAATGCAGGGACCAGAATACAGAC